GAGAGAGAGAGAGAGGCTTATGGGATTGACAGGAGAGGGTAGGGGTGGTTCTGAGCCACCTCATTACATGTCCTTTTACAATCAATTTGCTTAATATTGGTGATTTGATATATGAAATTGATTTATCTGTGTTTTTATTTGTAAGTTGATCTTTGGTTGTTGTAAGTTTCATTAATAATTAATATCTTCTATTTTGTAGTTGCTTGGAGTAATATGGGACTCTGTTGGTAGATCTTTGAAATGGTCATTCATGAACTTCTTTTTTATATAAAGTGTGACTTACAAGTGACATCTCCAACACTTACTCAGACTTTCATATTCATACACATGATAAGGCATTTCTCACTTCCCATTATGTGTTTCATTAGGTCGTTTCCATGCATTTGAAAAGGCTCATTATGTGGATCCGAAATCAAGTGGGCGACATGTTCGTCAATTCAAAACTAATCTTTTGCACAAACTGGAAAAGGTAATGTGGTGATATTTAGTTTCCACAATTGATATATTACAAGAAGTCATTTTATATAATGAGAAATTTCATCAAAGTCTATGTAGAATTTTTCCCCATATTGTCATTAGTCATGAGATTTAAGGAGTAGAGAATATTAACTTCTTATAAGAACTAAATTTGTTACCTGAAATCAATTTAAATTGTTATACATTCACTTAATCCTGGCTGTTGCTTATTTGTCTGTCTTACATGCATTTCGTTTGTTATTGAATTTGTCATTCTGTTTGCATATTCTACTTATCCATGGTAATGAAAGCTTGCATTTTTCTCTTGTAGTAAAACTGTACTTACTCTATTTGTTCAGGTTTTTTCCTATTATAAATGTCTGGGTTGATTTTCCTTATTATGAAATTATGTAGGTTTCAGTTGTGGAAAAACTAGATCTGATCTTGATGTCAGTTTTGTCGATCAGACCTTTTATGTATGCTGTGTGGGTACAAAATTGCGATATAAAAGTCAATTACTTGTAGTTAACTGATTCTAAAAAAAAAAAAGTGAGTTACTTGAAATCTGATGTGTTTATATGTGTGTGTGTGTGTGTGAGAGAGAGAGAGAGAGAGAGAGAGAGAGAGTAGAGAGAGAGTGATGCATGAAAATAGAGAATAGAGGCAAAAATAGTTTAATAAACTATCAAAACAGGCTAGATTTGAGTGGATCTGACTTTCCTTGTACAAAAAGAGACTCCAAAACCCTGGATAGGCCTTGTGTTATTGTTCACACCTTGTTTTTATTGTTCACCCCCAAAAGAATTAGAAAGTCTAACGCCCCAAGCCCTTTTATTACATTATAATAAAAAAAGACTAAAACTATCATTAAATTAAAACATTATAAAAATACCTCATAAGTCCCTTCACTCAAATTAAAACATAAAAAGTCCTTAAATTGCCATTAACTTTAATATAAACATTGGATATCACTAAGTGACTGTAGAAACAACAACAAATTATAAATACACTCCTTCAAATAGTTGGCCTTCCTCTCTTGGATCTCCTTGTGACTTTGGCATTTGGATCATCATAAAAGGGTCGTCAAAGGATGAAATGATTGGGTTAAAAGGCCCATAAGAACTGTCTTGACTAGTTAAAGTACTGTCCGGTGCATCATTATCCCTTGGTTGGGAAGAACTCGGCCTCAAGTTCACTCTTCTTCTCTTGCTACTTTTGGTTTGCTGTATTCGAAAAGATTAATGACGTTGAATACATTTGAGGTCTCAATCTTCGCAGGAAGGTCAATCTTATAAGGCCTTACTCCCCATCTTCTTTAGCATCCAAAGAGGTCTGATCTTCTTGTTATTTTGCTTGTTGCATTTGCCCACAGGGTGTCTATCTCTACATAAATAAACCATCACCAAATCGCCACCTGAAACTTCTTGAATCGCTTGTGTTTATTTGCAGCTTCCGTGTAGTTGGTAGTGTCAATCACCACATTAGCTTAAACTTGGTTTTGGACATCCTTCATGTACTCGATCATGTTGTCATCATCTAAGTGTCCTTCCCCCTAGTTGGTAGAGGAGTCAAGTTCATGTGTGGGTGGGATTCAGCCCATACACGACTTCAAATGGGCTCTTGCCGGTTAAACAACTATAGGAACTGTTGCAAGCAAACTTGGCTCTGAAGTAGGTTACCAAGGTTTGGGTTAACCACCTCAGTTTGACCATTAGTTTGTAACTGATAAGCACTGCTGAACTGTAGCCTGATACCCATCTTGTGCCATAAGGTTCCTCAAAAGTGTCTGAGAAAACTTGGTATCCTTATCTGATGTGATCATCTTGGGAATCCCATGAAGTCTCACCACCTCATGGAGGTATAAGCTGTGCACATGAGTTGCATCTAGCGTCTTCTTGCAAGTAATGCAGTGGGCCATCTTTGAAAACCTATCAACCACGACAAATATATAGTCCATGGCTTTTTGGGTCTACATAACATCCGAGAAATCCATTCTAACATCTTCCCATGGTGCACTGGGAATGGGAAGTGGAGAATATAAACCTGCTGCCACTTTGCAACTTGACTCACTTTGCACCTTTTCACATGCCTAGCCAAATCTTTCCTAAGTGTGGGCCAATAATAATTAAACTCCACCAATGCAATGGTTGCGTCTCGCCCAATGTGTTCTCCAAGCCCCCCATGTAGCTCTGAAATAAGGACCTCTCTAAGGGCATGGATTTTGGAGCATGGATTTTTAATATCTTGGATATTACTGAAATCCATTGTTTGGTTTGCTCAATGGCTAGGATATTATAATTCTATGGCAATTAAAAATCTTGGAAATCACCTAACTTTTTCACAATGTCATTTCCATCCTAAAACCTGTTTTTTTGAATTTCCAAGCTTCATGGATTCCACTCGTTCGCCCCCTCAACCCGAAACATACGACTCATTTGGTAGGTATGAAAATTTTAGAGAGAGAAAGTAGCTAAAATTGTTAAAGAGAGAAACTTTCTCAAAAAATTTCAGAGAGAAATATTCTCAAATTTTAACATTTAGAGAGAGAAAGTATGTTAAAATTTTAGAGAGAAAAACTATATCAAATTTTAGAGAGAGAAAGTACTTCAAAATTTTTAGAGAGAGAAACTATCTCAAATTTTAAGAGCAAGACTATCTCAAATTTAAAGCTTGAGAGAGAGCATCTTAAAGTTGTAGAGAGAAACTATATCAAATTTTAGAGAGTACCTAAAAATTATTAGAGAAAGAAACTATTTCAATTTTTTTAGAGAGAGAAGCTATCTCAAATTTTAAGTTTTAGATAGAAAATATATTAAAATTTTAAAGATAGGAACTATATCAAATTTTAGAGAGAAACTACCTAAAAATTTTTAGAGATAGAAATTATCTCAAATATTTTAGAGAGAGAAACCATCTCAAATCTTAAGTTTTAGAGAGAAAGTATATTAAAATTTTAAAGAGTGAACAATATCAAATTTTAGAGAGACACTATAAAAAATTTTTAGGGAGTTGTTTCAAAGTTGTCAGAGAGATAAACTATCTCAAATTTTAAGTTTTAGAGAGAGAAAATATATTAAAATTTTAGATATAGAAATTATATCAAACTTAAAGAGAGAAACTACTTAAATTTTTTTAAAGAGAGAAACTATCTCAAAATTTTTAGAGAGATAAACTATCACAAATTTTATGTTTTTTAAAGAGAAAGTATCTTAAAATTTTAGAGAGATCGACTATATCAAATTTTAACGAGCGAATATACCTAATTTTTTTAGAGAGATAAACTATCTTAAAATATTTAGAGAGAAACTATCTCAAATTTTAAGTTTTAGAGAGAAAAACTGCATCAAATCTTAGAGAGAGAGTACTTAAAATTTTTTAGAGAGAAACTATATCAAATTTTAAGAGAGTGACTATCTCAAATTTAAACTTTGAGAGAGAGAGCATCTTAAAATTTTAGAGAGAGAAACTATATCAAATTTTAGAGAGTACTTAAAAATTTTTAGAGAAGAAACTATTTCAATTTTTTAGAGAGAGAAACTAGCTTAAATTTTAAGTTTTAGAGAGAGAAGATATATTAAAATTTTAAAGATGGGAAAAGTTTATATAAGGTTGCAATCTTAAAATGTAGAATTATAGATGCACCTCAAAAATCTATCAGAAAGGTTGTTTTAATGTTGAAAAATCCTCCATCTGATCATCTCGACATCGTAATGTATGAATATAAAAAAAAAAATTTTGAGTCTCATAAATAGTGCATCTTGCAACACATTATCTAGACCGTCCATTTTCAAGATTTTCATATTTTATAGATCTCCTTGATTTTAACCATTTTTGGATTTTAAAATTTTCTTATTATATATGAAAATAGATTTTAAGATAATACTAAGAATTTTTTACAACAAAATTACATGTTATGATAAAGTTTGGAGGTGCACCTTAATTGGATTGTTTAAGGTTACAACCTTATAGAAACCGCACCCTTTAAAGATGGAACTATATCAAATTTTAGAGAGAAACTACCTAAAAATTTTTAGGGATAGAAATTATCTCAAATTTTTTAGAGAGAGAAACCATCTCAAATCTTAAGTTTAGAGAAGGCATATTCAAATTTTAAAGATAGAACTATATCAAATTTTAGAGAGAAACTAACTACCTAAAAATTTTAGAGAGATAAATACCTCAAAGTTTTCAGAGAGAGAAACTATCTCAAATTTTTAGTTTTAGAAAGAAAATATATTAAAATTTTAGAAATAGAAATTATATCAAATTTTAGAGAGAGAAACGGCCTAAATTTTTTAGAGAGAGAAACTATTTCAAAATTTTTAGAGAGAGAAACTATTGTAAATTTTATGTTTTAGAGAGAGAAAGTATCCTAAAATTTTAGAGAGAGAAACTATATCAAATTTTATATAGAGAAAGTACCGGATATGTTTAGATAGAAACTATCTCAAATTTTTTGGAGGGAGAAACTATCTCCAATTTTAAGTTTTAGAGCGAGAAAGAGTTTTAAAAATATAAAACACAGTAACTATATCAAATTTTAGAGAGAGAAAGTACCTAAACATTTATAGAGAGAGAAACTATCTCAAATTTTTTTGTGAGAAATTATCTCAAATTTTAATTTAAAGAGAGAAAGTATCTTAAAATTTTAGAAAGAAAAATTATATTATATTTTAGAGAGAGAATCTACCTAAACATTCTTAGAGAGAGACACTATCTCAAAATTATTAGAGGGGAAAACTATCTCAAATTTTAAGTTTTAAAGAGAGTATCTTAGAATTTTAGAGAGAGAACTACATTAAATTTTAGACAAAGAATGCATCTGAATTTTTTTGAGTAAGAAGGCAGCTGAAAATTTTAGAAAGAGAAACTATCTCAAAATTTTTAGGGAGGCTATCCCAAATTTTCAGTTTTAGGGAGAGAAAGTATATTAAAGTCTTAGAGAGAGAATCCGTATGAAATTGTTACCAAAAAATGGACATAGAACTGATAGTAAGGAATCCATGAATTTTG